GGGGATTTGCATAGTGGTAGCTAATGCCTCTAGAAAACTATCCAACATTAAATCGATTCACGAAATTGCGTAAGAGCTTCAGGCTGAAGCACTTACGGTAGACCTCCTTGAGCCTGACGACGGTGACAGATGACGTCATATTCTGAAGACGGTGAGGGCAGTGAAGGAGGGCCTGCGTCACTTATAGAGGGATTTAGGGAATACTCTGCTGAGGAACTCCCGTCAACGACGGCAATCTCTGCGAAGAAAAAAGGGCCGAAGTCCGACATAGGCAAAATGTCTTTTTTGGCCCCCCTGTACAGGCTACTTTCCATGGCTACTACTTCCATTCTTCTGGAACCTCTTTCTGAGCTTCCCTTTCTCATTCCCATTAATTAGGATTTTTTAATCGAGAACCAAAACAGAGGATCAGCCAGAAAATAGGCAAGGAGGCACTTCCCCATTCAACGGCACACACGTGCTTCACTCAATTCAGGGTTGGTTTTTTTATTTGAAATCTACCCTCAACCATTCCTTGACTGGTAATATCGACACTCTACCCGCACCCATAATTGAAAAGTGATCTAGACAGACAGGCTATTATTCGCCAGAGCACTTTTCATGGGATAGGGTGACCGTACTAACCATAAGACATATCTCGAAAAGGTTCGGAGGTCTTCTTCTTCTCCCTAGCGTTAGTCCCGCGCAGTCGCAGGGTCCGCTGTTTTTGTCAGTCGTCGCCACTTTGCTCTGTCCAGGGCATCTTCTGCTGTGGCCGTGACCTCAGTAGGTCCTTCTTGATAACGTCTCTCCACCTCTTCTTTCGAAGTCCATTGCTGTTCTTATCGGGTGGCCTTGTGGTCTTCTCAGCACATGCCCATACCATCGCAGTCGCTGTTCCCTCACCTTCAGCTGGACAGGGGCAGTCTGCATGACCGCTCTGACATCCTCGTTTCTGACCCTGTCCAGTCGCGTCCAGCCGCAGGCCCATCTCAGCATCCTCATCTCAGCGGAGTGAAGCTGCCTTTCGTGATTCTTGTTCAGGGGCCAGCACTCGCTGCCGTATAGCATCGCAGGCCTTACCACTGTCCGGTACACCTTCCCTTTGAGCGTTCTGGAGCACCTTCGATCGCAGAGGATTCCAGTGGACTCCCTCCATTTCATCCATGCCGCGTTGATTCGTGCCTTCACTGCCTGATCCACACTTCCGTCGGCTGCCAGATCGCTCCCAAGGTATCGGAAGTCCTCCACTCTTTCGATGTCTCACCATGGCCGTCCACGATCGGCTCTGCACCCTCTTCGGAGCTCAGGAACTTCAGCCGGAGCCCACCTTCTGCCAGGACCTTCTGCCATTTCTGCACCTTGGCCTGTAGTTCTTCTCTGCTATCCGCTATCAGGGCGATGTCGTCAGCGTAGAGGATGGTCTTCAGTGGTCCTTCCATGAGCCCCTTCACCATGACATCTAGTGTTAGGAGGAAGAGGAACGGGCTCAGAGCTGACCCTTGGTGCACCCCAACCGTGATGTCCACCTCCTTCGTTAGGCCGTGTGGGGTGCGTATGGCTGCCTTGGCTCCTTCGTACATGTCCTTCACCAGAGAGATCAGGTGTTCTGGCACGTTTCGTTCCCTGAGCGACCTCCATAGCACTGCTCGCGGTAGCCGGTCGAACGCCTTTTCCAGGTCGAGGAAGGCTAGGTAGCAAGGCCGGCGCTTCTCTCTATACCAGGGTGAATAACGGTCGAGGAAATCCTCGACCATAGCTCTCTACCATGCGAGAGTAGTGCCGAGAGTGAACATCCGCGCGGAGAGCACAGACGGCACGCATGGCGAGTGTGAATGTCCGCGCGAGAGATCGTGTCTGATCGGGCAGAGAATCCTCGACGTGCCGTTGAGGAATCCTCAAGCGATATTCACCCTGCTCTATACTTTTCCATCACTTGCCTGGCGATGAAGATGGCATCCGTTGTGGATCTTTCAGGCATGAACCCGAACTGTTCCTGGGAGATCGGGACCAGCTCCCGCAGCTTCGAGTCGACCAGCGCTCGTACAACTTCATGGTATGCGCAGTCAACTTGATCCCGCGGTAGTTGGAGCAGTCCATCGCGTCACCCTTCTGCTTGAAGATGGGGACGATAGTACTTGTTCTCCAGGCATCCGGCATCCTTCCTTCCGCAGTTACCGTGTTCAGGAAGCGGGTGAGCCATCTATCCCGTACTCTCCGAGCGCCTTCCATGCCTCGATTGGCACCCCATCTGGACCAACCGCCTTTCCAACCTTCATCTTCCCAAGTTCACGACGAACCTCATCCTCTGTCCAGAGTGCGATGGGACCAGCTGTGGCCTCTGCTTGTGAGTTGTTCTTGTGGGGGAACTCCTCGTTCAGAAGTGCCTGTAGTACTCTTCCCACCTCCTCCTTGACTTCAGCTGGCTTCCTCAGGATGGCACCGTTGCTGCTCTTCACACTCTTCACCACCCTGATGTCTTGGGTAGCCGATGCCGGGCTTTAGCCAGTCTGAAGACGAACTTCTCTGCGTTTTGCTCTCCAACTTCTCGTACAAGGCGTCCATCTCTGTGTTCTTAGCCTTGACGACGAAAGTCTTGGCAAGCCTCTTTACCTTCACTGCTGCCCTCACGCGATCGATTATTGATCAACACTAATCATAAAAAAGCCATAAAATGGTCTTCTCCGAATTGCATTTCCATGCAAAATAGCTCCGATATTTGCACGTTCAGGGCAGCCTCATGTTTTGCCACTACAGTCCATAAATTTTTGCAATGAATCAAAAATTTCACTTGACCGAGAGCACACCATTGACATCTCTCTCTCGTCTAACAGGTAACAGTCACTCAAATTAAATTGATGAACATCAGATCACTCTTACAGCTTTGTACGTGACATTCACTAGACTTCACGAACTCTAAATTTGAAGTGGAACCGATTAGTTTCAATCAATTCGTATGGCAACAACAATTGTCGTGGCCGCTTTCTGAGACGAGCTATCGGAAACGGTGTTCTATCGAGCCGACCCCATTAGGAGCTTTTCCTTTCTTTAAACATAAATTTTTAGCTTGACATTTGAGACGTGACTTGTAATGATGGTATCCTCAATAATAACTGGAACCATAAGCCAGTCACAAAACTTACATCTAAAATCGACTTCTAAACTTCATCCTGCACTCAGAACTCAAAAAGCTATACTCATTCCATTTCACGGGAGACTGAACTTACGTGCGTCCGCAAAATTTCAGACTGTCAAGAAAGCTAAAAACCCTCCAAATTGCACGTAAAAACGGAAGGAAGCCTTTGGGATGGTTAACACAACGGCGCTATTGAACAAGTCTAAAGACAGGGAAAAAATAGGCCTTAATAGGTACTTACCGCTCTACAACGGGAATATATTGGCCATGCTAAACTCCACCCCAAGTGGGCGGGGCGTGCGTCAAAAATCGAAATTTCGTTGAAAAATTGCAGTTTTTGGCTTCGGAACAGTCTAAAGACAGGGAAAAATAGGGCCTTAATAGGGTACTTACCGCTCTACAACGGGAATATATTGGCCATGCTAAACTCCGCCTCCTGTGGGCGGGGCGTGCGCTTAAAGTAAAATTTTTCGTGAAAAAATAGGCGTTTTTCGTCCAAAAACATCCAAAAAACCAGGTAATGGGGGTTGAATAGACCATAGATCACCCCCTATCATACTATTATATAAACCAGAGTTTGTTTGTCTGACCGCTCCCCAAAAATTCGCAAGTGTCCCCCACATGTTTATAATTCTTCCTTCAAAAATCACCTAGGGAGGGCGGGTCAAGTTTGGAATGGGTAGAGTATGAGCAAATGAGGCAGAGCAGAATTACAAAGACTTGGACATATCCCATTTTCCGACGTCATCTTCAAGTTCACAGTTTCTATAGTATTTCATTCTGAGACCACTCGACCCACTTCAATTCCACCCCATTTCCTCTCCAAAACCCCAGACCATCGGCGAGGGGGGAGGGGGAGGGGGGGGGGGGGCGAAAAATAAACAAAATAACCAAAACACTCCCATAACATAACAATCTTTTTGCATAAATTTGTGATCGCTTATCATGCATACATCAGTACTTGCTTATTAGAGTACGAATGAAACTTGGCAAGGTTCCCCTGCAATATAGCATGCTCCTTCCGGCCATAATCAGCGGGATTAAAGAAGAAGGAATAAGCAGGTCGAGCCGCATTTTGCGTGCCTCGGGTCAGTATCATCCCACAAGTAGTCTACTCTCAGCAACCAACTTTCGCGCTCGGTATCGTGCGCAGCTAAACTGGTTGAACAAAAATTACAAAATTTTTACAAACATCACGATTTACTTATGAATAAATAATTTTACAGCGAATGACCACACGATTCGAGCAACCATCTTAAGAACAAACTTGACCGCATCATTCTGCACACGATTATCTATTACTTCTTTAACTGTAAAAATCAGACATACCGCATAGTTGCAACGCAGCACTCAATAGAAAATACATTAACAAAAAAACCTACAAGGATGCATAAACGCAACAAATGACCAACTGAAGAATAATCATTTCAAGTAAGGATGAAGAGATATTCACAGCCAAATTCATTTCATAAAAGGGAACCGTTACACATTCACAATGAAAGAAAAACAAAAATGATCATCATTACAAACAATTATAC